TTTCAAACAAACTAATTAAGTAAAAAAGAAACAAAATTTGTAACATCCTATACAACTCGCGCCACAGCGTCGCATTACAAGCCTCTCCTTCTAACAGTATGTTTTGTCTCTTTTAAATTCATTCAACCCATTCATATGCTTTGTGACCTTTACAAATGAACTTTACGTTACAGTTTTATACGTAAGGGTGTTCTAAAATTGTTTGTTTTGGAAAATTTAATAATTCGGTAAATGATGTTTAAAGAATGTAAATGTTTAATACGATTTAAAAAAGTTATCCTCTATATGTGTGTTCATTTATTGTCGCGGTGTTAACGACACGCTGTATGTGAATATCGATATTTTTCCGTAAATCGTTGCAATCTTAAACAATATGTTAAATTAAGCTCCTCACAAGGTGGTACCCATAAGAACTGACAACAACTTTGATTTATGGCGATTTTTCGTGTAACATAAATAAAAAACGAACTGAGTGAGCTTCTTACGGGTGTGTCCTTATCTAATTGCCACTGTAAAAAAATATATGTATATTATTACGGTTTAATACTATTTAATATTAGACAGATTCATTGAAAATTTAACGCAATAATGGCATATAAAGTAAAAGAATCTATTTTTGATCTTATTATCATCATTCACATTCATTAGCAAAGACCTTTATTTTAAAATTATGTTAAGATAAAAAAATTGTTTAAACACTAGTCGGAAAAATAGTGGCACTCACGGAGTCTCGCAATATAACATTTCGCCTTTAGGTTGTTTAGCCCGGTCAAAATAGGCATTCAAGATTACATAAATACGCACAAAGCTGAAAATTTGCATGAATGTTGGGAACACTATTATAATTCATCCGATGTGTGCAAAAAATTTAATCAAGGTGAAATGTTGCAAAATCGGTGTTTAGCATTTTTCAGCTAAACGGCATGTTATATCATAAAATAGCTGAGACAAAAATTATTCATTAGGCGATTATCTATAAAAACTGTCTACTCTTTTTTCCTAAGAACCACCATTTCGGAGATGCAAAAAGTTGTTTTTTTAACGTGGTTTCTCCGGTCAATTGTTGTCCTTTTGAGTTAAAAATATTGTTTCTAATTCAAACCAGTACTATTGGAAATGATGAAAGTTGTGTAAGTTATAATTAATTTTGTTAAGTTATTCATCTGATTCATAATCATCTAATGGAACTTCAACAATGCCGTCTTCTTCTTCTACCCACTGGGTAGAAGTAAATTGTTCAAAGAGCGGTGCGTCAGATGTCTCCTCGCATAATCGTAAGAATCCTCTTCTACTGGCGAAATACTGCAGATTGAATTGGTTTCACTTAGGTTTTTTTTGTAGCTAACTCGCTTTAAAATATCATAGTGTTGATCAATAAAACATAAATGTTGATGTCCCTGATTTTTCTGTTATGATAATTTTATCGCCATACTTCAACTTTAATCGTAACTTAATGGTTCTATTATCAACTTAACAAATTTTTGCAAATATCTTTCAATTTGTTTAATGTTTGTCTTTTTAGACAATCATCATTATTTTCAATGTATGCAAATGTTTCTTCCATTGCAAGATTCGTAGTTTTATCTGGAGGACGACCAACATTACCCCCCGTATTCGGTCTCAAGAAGGAATTATAACAGTCTTTATGATATTTAGCTTCGGCAGCAACTAAATTATGTTCAAACTCAACTCAAGTAATAATAGCTTTCGCTACATTATCAGAACGAATCTGGGCTATATTCAAAATTGTTTCTCTGAATGAAAATCTAGTTACATTACAAATTGGACGTCGATATTTCAGCGCTTTTTTCTTTTCAAAGGGTTTGAATTTCATTCAATTTCATTCAATTCATTGCCAAAAAATGAGCAACACTGTTTAAAACAAAAAACTGATTCAGTTGCTCGTACTCTAGTACGAGGAGTACTTATTCTTCATGTACCAGCTTTTTCTTGTTCGTGTTGTCTTTTAACTGCAGTAATGCGAGTAGCATACTGTACTAAAAAGAGTCCTAATGTAGTTTTTTCGACACTGCACATGAATTGTCACAGAAGTCTGGCTTCTCAGATACTCTGAAAATTCAATACATTTCTTTTACAAATAAAAAACTGGACGATTTTTTTTAAATATAAGAATAACTACGTCCTCTTACCACGAAGGAACGCTCGAGACTAATAGATACTATTTTATTTAGGCCCTTACAAAAGGAGTAGGTATGCGGCGTCGCCACACGGATCATTGATCATTGAATAGCAGACATGTTACTGAAGGCCGTACGGTCATATGAGGGACTGGATTTTTTTTGAGTTTCTTTTCTTAGAACTGTATAATATGTATGTATACGCCACGAAAACTAATATTTTTCTTATATTACCGTTCTGTAATGTATACAGCGTGTCGTTACCACCGCGACAATAAATGAACACACATACAGAGGATAACTTTTTAAAATTGTATTTAACATTTACATGCTTTAAACATCAATATTTACCGAGTTATTAAATTTTCCAAAACAAACAATTTTAGAACATCCTTACGTATAAAACTGTAACGTAAAGGTCACAAAGCATATGAATGGGTTGAATGAATTTAAAAGAGAAAACATACTGTTAGAAGGAGAGGCTTGTAATGCGACGCTGTGCCGCGAGTTGTATAGGAGGTTACAAATTTTGTTTCTTTTTTACTTAATTAGTTTGTTTTAAAAATATATTTTTTTTAATTATGGATTTTGTTTAACGTTAATATATTTTTTTGATTATTGGCAAGTAGCGTTAGAAGTGTGTTCATTTATTATAGCGATGGTAACGACACGCTGTATAAAGGTCATTGACATACGTATTATGAAGAACACAACATTTTCAACTTTTTGCATCGCATATATCTCCGAAATGGTGTTTCTTAGAAAAAAAAAGTGTAGAAAATTATTGTCTCAGTAATTTTTATAATAAAACTTACCGTTTAACTGAAAAATGAACGATATTTTGCAACATTTGACCTGAAATAAATTTTTATGCACACGTCGGATCAATGGGGATTTTTGACAAATTGTTTGTAATAGTGTTCCCAACATTCATGCCAATTTTCAGCTTTGTGCGAATTAATGTAACCTTACTATTTTTGAAGCTAATTTGACCGGGCTAGTTGTTGAGAGCCAAAGAGTACATTATTAATAATGTTGAGAGCGGTCAAAAGCGTTAAAATGAACTGTTTTTATTGCTTGTTTTCTGACAATCAACAACTTTTGTTGCGTAGAAAGAGACGCACTCCGTTTTCGCAGCTCTCACTGGACTCGTCTATGAAGTATTGCACAGTCCTTTTGGGTACAAGGTTGAATTCTCATTATCTCAACTTGTCAAAACACTCCATAACCACGATCTATACCATACCCTCGAGTCGAGACGCGTAGACAATCTCAAATTCTTCTCTGCAGGAAATGTTAACGCTGCTGCAATCGAATTACGCCGTTGAAGAAAGATCATGGTTAGACAGGCTATTTAAAACGTTAAAGTTTTATTGGTTACCTATTATCGGTAAATAAATTAATGTAAATGTATTCAAAGGAATCGTCAATAACAAAGTCAAGTTTTTGCTAACGTTTATTCATAACTTTAATGACAACATTCAGTATTGCTGTCACAAATATATTTTTACTACAGTTAATTTTTGAAATGTGTAATAGTAATACATACTTAATATGATTATTGTAGAAAATAGATCATAGGTTATAGAAATCATTTATAACTTATTTTACTACAAAAAGCCCATATTGTCGTAACCAAAAAATAATAAATTGATAACCGACTAAAATATTTATTAACAACAATATTAATGTTGCTATTTGACATATTTATTTTCAATCGGTATATTTAATTTGGAACAACTTCATTTTCATTCATTTTATTTAATGATTTTTCAAATACAAAGCCATTTTAAAATTGCAAAATTTCTTTTTGCATTGAATACTATATTACATTTATGAAGAATCTACTTTTTATTTAGGCATAAGAAACTCCAAGCTGTCTTAGAAAATATACTTTTTATTTTAGGAATTAATATCGTCAAAAAGATATGTTTAAAACATGTAACAACATATCTACACGCTAATTCTATCTTATTTTCCATCATTTTAATATTCCTTATCACATTTGAAGACTAGAAACTTTTTAAAATACGTTTAAATCCTTTCGCATTTCATATCCACCGCCATGGACGAAGTTACATTTAAAAATTAACAACCAATTTATTTGTTGGTCACAGTTGTGCAAAACATAAATAATTAACTCCTCATCGTACTTAGACATAAAATTAGGCATATTGCAGTAGTACCACCTCAACTCTATAATTACCACATGTGCGTACTTTCTTTTTTTTTTTTAGTTGCAATGTTGTAACAAAATAATTTTCTTATAACAAAATATTCGTTATTACTATACGTATATCGTTTAACGAGTGATATTAACAATTATTTCTAGAATAATTCTAAAAACTACCAAAAATCTGTCAACTTCTAGGTCAAATTAAAAGCTGTGTAAACTTATTTGCTTTGTGCTTAAATGGCCGTTAAATGTAACAAGAAATTGTCCAAAACCAATAATGCCTACTTTTATCATTAAAAATATTAACTTCGTCCATTTTAAAATTATTCATTAGGTCCTTTTTTTGGTAAATAAATGTATTTTCTTTCTTTTTTTCTAGGTGTAATAAATATATATTTTTTGACAAATTTGCTAAAAATTTTATCGACGCGTCTTTGATAGACATATTGCTTCTGGACTTGATATGCAGTCGATTTTTTTTAATTTAAGGACACGCTTATTTTAGGCTTGCAATAAAATTGGAACAAACACAGATAATCAGTATCTATACTCTATATAGGAATATTTTTTAACATTTATCATTGTAGAGAGATTAAATTCACAAACTTTAAACCGTACGACATTTGGCAAATCGGAAGTAAATGCCAAAGTTTATGAAACATTTATTATTATTAAAAAAAGGTTTAGATGCTGATTGTGCTTATTGTATCTGCCGGAGCCGGTGTCACATTAGGCTTTTGCACTGCTGGATCCAGTAAAGGAATATTGTCTGTAGTGCTGGAAGGTTAATACGCAATTTAATCAATGATTTACAAACACAGAAAGTGAGATATATTGGGAATAACAAACTTCGTACATCTTTATGCAAGAATTTGGCAAGCGATCCTGACGTGAATGGATTACCGGTTGCCGTAGGGTTGCAAACGCGTTACCAACCTTTAATAGTACCTAAGGGCTTTTCGCACCGTTCTTTTTTGGAGCTGTGGCAATTCCCTGGACGAACCTACCCCAAAGATCTTTTACTTAGTAAGTGTAAGGTCTTTGACCTACCCATTCCAAAGATATCAACTTAGGAATTTTCTTCCTAAATTTAAAAAGAAAAAAATGTACCATGGAAATTTTTAGAAGGTAAATTCAAAACTAAACTTGCTAAATGTTTCTCATTTTTTTCTTAGTTTGGTTTGAATTTAGTAAATTTAAGTGGGTTTTGAATTGCTTTAGGAGTATTTTTTTAAACAGTAACACTGGCCCATTCGTGAAATAACAAACTGCTGTGTTTCCCTATAGTTAAATGAGATTTAAAATAACGTGTTTTGGTGGTTATTTTTTGTACAACTTTTCAGTTATATAAGTGTACATGTCATTAGCGAAAAAATAACCACTCATTAACACTGCAAAACTTTATCGATAGCGTATTACCGGTACGGCTAATTAAACTCCTATCCTACATAATTATGTATACAGAATGAAGAATGACTTTTTACATGTTTTACCTTGTCGGAGCGAGCATAGGTTCGCCAACGATATCTTCACAGCTTGTGGAAATGGGAGCTGGTTTTGTCAAAATCGGCAGAGTCATGCTGATAGTCAAAGTGAAGTACCCATACTGAGGACAATAATCATTTTAATTCTTAAAAAAATCCCCCGCCATGGGGATTGGTAAGAACTACTGCGTGAGGTTATATGACCAAATGGAAAGTTTACTAAACTTTACTTTATCAAGCTCACAGCAATTATTCGTATGTGACATAATTTTCTCCCCGATCGAGTCCATAACATGGTGATCTGTAGCTGTTGGCTATGTAAACCAATAAATAATAATAATTGTATATTTCAGACTATGGTCGAGTATAATGTCCAAACATCGACATTTATTTATTCAATTTACTACACTAGATGTTGTTGACGAAATTATGACTATTAAACTTACTGATCTAAGTTTTTAAGTTGTCATTCATAACTCCCTCACTTGCCAAACATAATTTTATTAATCTTATTACCATTCAAATCAGTGATCCAAGTTGGTAAGATATCATTCAGAGTGTGACCAAACATAACTTTATTAAACGCACTTCTACGGCGTTGATTCTGCTTTCAAACATTCGGATATACCAGTCTTGCAGTGCACTAGTTAATCCATCAACTGTAATAACTCGCGTGATGAAACAGCTTTTAAAAACGGTTCGTTCGTTCAACATCCGCCCTCACCACTTACCATAACCAGTGCGAGGATCAAATAAATCGTGGGAGTTGTCCAGTGCGTGGCGTTTTCAATGGCAGCGACGCCCATCGCCCAGTTCACTGCGAAAAACGGCTCCAGCACCAAGCAGAGATTGAGGTAGGTTTTTAACTCGTTACCCTCCGTACTCCAGCCCCACTTCAGCCACAGAGGCTCCGTCGTGTAGATCGTGAGTACCGGGTCTTGATTGTCTTTGCCTTGATTGTTCCCCTAAAATGATTATGATAGAAATGTACAACTGGCCATTTAATACGTCGTATAGACCGTGAGGATAATGTTTGTTTGCGTCTAATCGTGGAAACAGCGCATGGGCGTTCTATACCGACTGTAAAACAAAACACAATACTTCTAATTCTTTCACGAAATGGCAACACTCACATCATTTTCATCCTCATTATTCCCCTCGGGAATGTCATAGCAGTTGTCATCACACGCGTTATACTCTCTGTCCAGATTTTCTGAGCTCTCAGTATTCTTTCTGCTAGTACCTGCTATGTATAGATTGTCCAGCGTATCAGCACTGCCGGTCTTATTGTTCCCATCGACCTGTCCGTTCTTGCGTATGTTCGCTTCATGACGGTCAAAGAGCTCCTGCAATTTGGTGCGCAGCGACTCGGACTGTTTCTTGTAAACCCTCTTCAGGCCATACAGGATTATGGCGGTGTTGATAATTATCAATATCATCACGGGGACCATGAAACCCAACACCATACCTTTCTCTAAGGACATCCAGCAGTAATGCTTAATCTCGTAACGTTCCATAGACAATGCATAGTTAAACTGTAAGGAAAGGATATGGTAACTTGAAAAAACAGAAAATATGTGATTGAACTCACTGTTCAATTTGGAACGATTGTAGTATTGTTTTTCTGATTTGATTCCATTTGATCGATTGCTCATAAGGAGCAATTTGTGTGGACTGAAACAGGAACTGTCATTTAAGTTGTTCGTAACAGGTACATTCCGTTATCTCGAGATACCTGTTACGATAAATACGCCTCACTATTTCTATATGATCATAATAAAAAAAGAAGGACATCAACAGCTTTCAACAAATAACCTCAGTTGAAGGATAATATAGTGAAGTAACCAACATATCTAACAGATAATATCACCATTCCAAAGATATCTGTCTGACTATCCACATTAGTGCTTAGTGACGGACATTAACATTAATTAATCAATAACAACGTTCCGCAGTGTTTTATTCAAATGTATAGGATAGGCTGTATTTCACTTACTTGATAATTTCTTTTAAATTCCTTCTATCACTGTTTCACTAAGTATAAAGGCCTTGCAAAAGACCGACGTGAAGAGAATGTACCGAACTTTCGCGTTTCTCCGATCTGCAAATTCTCAGGGGCTGTAGATGCCCATGGGTGCTGGTAATCACTAACATCAGGTGGAACGCCCGTTTGCTTGCCAACTTTTCACAATAAACATCCATTTGTTTAAAAGCAATGGCTATAAAACTGGGCGGTACCGCCCAGTTTTATAGCCATTGCTTTTAAACAACAACAACTTTTTTCTAAGTGGACGGTACACCTAAAAAGTTTGAGAAACACTGGTTTAAAGCATACCATTACAACGAAGGCCGGTATCCCGTAGGCCAACAGGTAGTTGTACTTGAGGGGCATGAAAGAATCGTAAGCGCAATGCTCAGCCAATGTGGCGGCCAACGCTACTATCCACGAGGCGCAGGTCAAGTAAGTGTAGTGAAGGAGCAAAGCGATTCGTTCGCACTGCCACGGCGAGGCAACACCCTGTGGGAAAACACATTAAGACATTTGCAATCACATCACATCAACCAAGCCTGTCCACCGCGTAATTCGTTTACTATGATAGCCATGCAACGAATGGTCAGCTCGTTTGGGGAAGTATCTTATATATTTCGGTGGTAATTTTTTTCGGTGGAAGGGCCACGCAGCAGCCACGGCTGTTGCACGAATGGGCTGGTTCGTCCGGGTAAGTACCACGATCTCACAGAAGACCAGTGTAAAGTGGAAGTATAATACTTTCGCGTTTCGTCTGGTGAGTGAGGTGGCCGGAGCCCAATTTTCAAAAGATTGTCAACGCATCTGCAATCCTCGGGTGTAGCAGATGTCCATGGACGGCGGTATTAACTAAACATTAAGTGAACCATCTGCTCGCTTGGCAACTTTTCACATAAAAAAAAAGTATCACGACCTTACAGAATACTTGTCGTTCACAGTTTAATCTCAATCTGGTGAGTGAGGTAACCGGAGACACTTACGTGTTATACATTAACGACGGTAATTACGTTATAAGACCAGATAAAACGCCCTTCGTCCGACTTCTATAGAATATATAAAATTTGAATTTGAATTTTTTTTTTATGGAGAAAAGGGGCAAACTAGCAGGAGGCTCACGTCATGGTAAGTGATTACCGCCGCCCATGAACACCTGCAACACCCGAGGGCTTACAATGGGTTGCCGGCCTTTTAGAAAAGAGTATGCTCTCTTCTTGAAGGTTCCCAGGTCGTAACGGTTCGGAAAGACCGCCGGCGGCAGCTGGTTCCACAGAGTGGTTGTGCGAGGCAAGAAATGCCTTGACAATCGCGCTGTTGTGGAACGCTGGACATCGAGGTGGTGTGGATGAAATTTTTGGCGCGATGTCCGATAGTGGAATTCAGCCGCCGGGATCAATCCAAACAATTCCTCGGAACACTCCCCGTGATAAATGCGGTAGAAGATGATGCGTCGACTAACGTGTAGTGAACGCTTATGCGTTCCATATGGTCATACGCACCAGAACAGCTTGAACATATATCATGGAGCAAGCCAGTAGACAGCAGCAAAGGTTGATAACGATGGGATACAGCTTGCCATCCTTGCGGAATTCTGCCGCGGCTTTGCTCCACATCAACCACATCATTGCCGCCAGCAGCATGATTATTGTTATTGAGTTGTTAACTAACAATCTATGAATATTGCCGTTTATTATTTACAAAGTACATAAATACAAATCTATCACATTATAAATAAATTAATCAATGTTAATAATTACATAAAAACTAAATAGTTCAGACACCCTGCGCACCATACCGCATTCATGAATTGGCGATTTTACCAGAAATAATGGCGGTAATGCTTTCGATAGAATACGTAATGAATTTAGGAAACAAATGAAAAAGTAGTTTAATAAATATAATTTAAATAAAATATTATAAAAAAGTAATTATCACGTGTTCGGCGGTGAAGGAAAACATTGTGAGGAAACCTGTGTATTTTCGAAATAATAAAAATATTTCGAAAATATGTGAAGTCCGCCAATCCGCAGTGGGGTCACGTGGTGGACTATGCCCTGATACCCTCTTTACAGAGAAGGCCTTTGCCCAGCAGTGGGACATTTTATAGGTTACTTTTATGTTACTTTTTTACTTTACTATAAAAAGAGATGTATTCGCGATTGCGAAAGATAATGCTTTCATAATTATCGTCTACTTTAAAATTTATAAACTTATCGATTACCAGTATTATCCATTCGTTCCTTGGTCCATGACAGTTGTTGAATCCGTAAAGGTATGTAACACTGTCGATAATGTTGTGCTCCTTAAGATCAGCATCTGCCAGTGAATCATCCGGCAATTCCACTTCGTTTTCAGCTTTGACATCCATTTTATTCACTGATATGTATAAAAAGCAATAACTTTACAAGACATCATCAGCACACGCGATCAGATTGCATGCACATAAAAATATTTAGCATACGTTACCTAAATTTTTAGAAAAGTCTTCGGGATTAGGATACAAAGGGGGATTGTCATCATAAATGGAAGACGTAAAGTTAGACACTACTTCACCATATTCAGTGTCGTATGATGTTATATCGTAGTCGCTTCGATCATCGGTTTTGGGATAAGTGGTCTTATGATATTTTATAGAGACCGGCTCATAGGAGCGGTAAGAACCCTGTTTATGATTTTTAAAGAAGCTGTCGTCTTCGCTAGCTCTTCGAACATGGTGGAGCGTTTTGTTTTGCTGACTAGCTAAAAAAGTTATATGGTTTAATACGGGCACTTTTTGTTCACAATAATCTAATTACTGCACAGTAGGTACCTGGAACGGTTTTTACAAAATATAGTAAAAGTACTGAAAGTATAGTTTTACGTAAAGAAATAGTACGACGAATAGAAACAGACATTGTTTTTTTAGTTATAATCAAAACTCATACTACATATATCTCTTACACTACTCTCTCTAATACTCTTTCACGGTAATTCGCGAGACTTGTTTATTTTTAATGATATCGATTTTCCCAGACCTATCCGTGGTCGAGTAATCGATAAAATACTTACGTTCATTTATACGCTACTTTACATAAGATTTAGGTAGGTAATTTTTCATAGGATAGTTTTTTAGTAACTGATTTTCGGAACTGACAGTTTTTGTAATAACTATCACTTTAAAAGTTAAAAAACTAAAACAAAAGTTTCTTTGATTTGATATTACTCACAAAACCATATCCCTTTATGGCTTTAAGTAGACGAATCTGTGTCAAACAAGCAATATATTTTTTTTGTTATCACTTGTCACCTGATCGACTGTTGTTTGTCGTCGTCCTTGTCACCTTGTCATCAATAATTCAAACGCAATTCATAATGCAATAAGCCCAAATATAGCTTCAGGATGAGTGCAATTTTGAAATTCATCCGTGAAAACCACATATTGGCAGTAATAGAGCAAGCCGTTGCGAAAAAGAAATCCCGTCTGAGCCTTAACGCCTTCGAGATAACCGAAATACCCAACTTGCTTTATTCTTGTTTGGACGTCGAACATCTTTATCTGCATAAAAACAAAATTACATCGATATCAGTGCAGCTAACTCAATTGTCGAATCTAACTACTCTGACTTTAGACTATAACAACTTAAAATCACTTCCATCGGAGATCAGGAATCTAAAAAACCTTGTTAATTTAAACATAAGCTACAACCCATTAAACGTATTGATTCCTGAAATTGGCGAGTTGGAAAATTTAGAAGCATTCTGGTGCAATCGAATTGGGCTCCGAGAAATACCCAAAGAGATAGGAAAATTGTCAAAGCTTGATACTTTTGGTGCAAGAGGCAATGAACTTAAAGAAATACCTGAAGAAATGACTGCTCTACAAAAACTAAGGTAGACATGTTGTTATATCTTATAAGTTATTTTCTGAAATAAAAATATATATTGAATAATGTCATGTTAATATTGTTCAGTTCCATAGCTATTTGAAATTAGAAATTGTCCTTAGTGGAGATTAATTTTGTCTTATAATACAAAATGTTTTAAACACTCCATTCGTTATTAAATAATATACAACATATTAAATAATATAATTATCAACATGAATGCAAGAAGTTGTGTTAGAACTGCTGTAATCATGATTATTCATGAAGTTTAGTAAGAAATGTAACTGTTTCTTAGGAGACCTATAATTAAATAAATGTACTATTTATTACATTACTTGTAATCAATAGAAATATTATTTAGTTAGTCATAATTATTAGAAATACTAACAATTTTAGAAATGAGATTGAAATTTTTTTTTATCATCTGCTATTCTTTCAGATGGTTAACGCTTGAGTACAACTATATTGAAATATTACCCAAATCAATGGACAAGATGGAGTCCCTGGTGCATTGCAACTTGAGACATAATCAGATCCGTGAATTCCCTGCTTCTATTATGAAGTGTCCAGACCTGATGTTTCTGCAGCTCAATCATAATCTGGTAAAATTATAATAAAATTCACATGTTTTGTTATGAATTAACATCAATTAAATCACAATGTATGAACCATTGTGATTTATTTAACTTTAATCTAAGTTTTATACAAATACCTTATACAATTTCATCATGAAGAGGAAACAAGCACAAATAAAGCTGCATTGAGAGCCATCAATTAGTGTTTTACAAAATTAAATTTGTAATTTAGTCAATTCTTTTATGGGACAAAGAGACAAATGAGAGAACTAATAGTAAGTTACCACCGCCACTCATGGACACTTGCAACTTCTTATGAGTCATAATTGTGTTGTCTTCGTTTCATTTCTTCACAATTGCAGGCTTAGTAGCAAGGTAATTTATTGAACACACAAATGGACATCTCTCAGTACCATTGATTCATTACTATTACACATACTGTGGCGACACATTGTAATTTGATATTGTAGTCGAATGCCCCGTGCGCCGTACATTGTGCAGCGAGTACCTAGAGAACGCACACTGTCATGTGCATATCTTGTACATTTGATAATAAATATTATACTATACAGGATGATTTTTTAGACGAAGTACATACTTTGACATAATATTAATTGAGCATTCCATAATTCAAAAAAAAATATTAATATTTTATTATGACAAGAAATAACCAGAAAAATATCAATTCAAACATAGTTTGTTTATCCCGTTATGTGTGATCACCCTAATGATAAGCGATTTAGTAATTTTGCGTTCAGCGAAAAGTTTTTGTGCTCGTCAATAGGTTTACTGTATTGAGATGGTCAGGCAGGAATTTCTTAAGGTGTCCATAATATGTGAAAAAATTAAAAATAATCTTTAAAAAAAAATTGGGACTCAAGTATGTACCAGATTCAGATTTAGATTCGATATTATCTACTTGTCACTATAAGGAGCAATAAAAAACCAACCCAACAATGCAACTACGGTTCTTAAATTTAGTATAAATATCATGTTTTCTTTTTAAGTTATCTTATGTATCTGTCTAATGAAAAATGTTGCAAATGCGAACAATAATTAATATTTTTTATTCTAAGTATTAAAATATTTCTTTTTGTCATTAATAACTAACTGACACCTGAGCTCCCTGTGAGGGGAAACCAAGGTTATGTCGGACTCGCACCGTCTAAAACCCCACGGTAGTATCCAGCTACTCAAATGAGGGGTCACGGGATCTCCTTTTGGAACACTATCGTGGTGTAACTAAGACCTATCAACTACATACAAATGCCAGTAAATCTTGAGTAGAGAAAAAGGATTTAATTAAAGTGTATCACATTAGACTTAGTACCTGGATGACCCAGCTTTGCTCTGTTTTTTTTTTCTCACAAAAGTAGGAACGGAAAAAAAAGGGAAAAAACTTACTGGTTTTCTGGTTACGCGACTACCCGATTTCTCCTGAGCTATTATAACCTTGTAGATCGTAGCAAAATTTATCTTCCTATTCTAATGGTATTGTAACAGTTTTTTACTGCTTAAAAACCTAGCTAGATCGATTTTATTGCCCCATAATCCGCTGCATGCTGAATTTCGATATGTAAATTGTTGGATTGGTTTCATATAAATAAATATATTAGAATAATTTGATTATGTTAAAATATTGCAAACAGTCAGATGTATTGATATAGAATGATATACACATTTATATATTGATAGCTATGTCTTGATGTACATATTATTTATAATGTATATAAGGATTATAAAAATATAGTAATTTTAGTTGTAATAGCTGTTTCAAGTAGTTTAGAGAATGTCAATATATCTTTTATATTATCTTTTACTTTAATTTATATATTTCATACACTTTCTGAGTTGTGAAAAAATCAAAGGTTTCCTGCTGGTTCCTTCTTTGCTTGTTTAGGTTTCTCTTATGTTAGAAACTCTTATTAAGTGGGAACCTTCAACACAAATGGGATTTCAGATGTGAGGCCCATTGTTAGAGGGATCGATAATTCGACCTGCTTGCTTGCATTTTTAAAAAGTTTATCCAATTTCTTGTCGCATATGATTGAAGTAATCCTAGTAGCATCTTTTAATTTAAAACTAATAAAAAGCCTTGACATAAATATTCTCATCAAATACCATTCATTTCTTTATTTGCAGATATCCACCATGCCACCAAACTTTGACACCAGATCTCTGACAATGTTGGAAATGATCGACATGCGGTTGAACCCCATATGTGATATGCCGCATCCAGTAAGTTATAGTCAACTGAGCGAATTGCTTTGGTTATAATTTCACATTAATTTTTAATTTTATTTGTAGGAATACCCTCTGGTTCGGTTCAGCGAGGAAATAACACCCAACCCTCAGCCATCGGGCAGTAGGGTTCATGCTACCCAAGCTTTGGCAGTCAATGCAACGGCTTTGCGTTTGCCAGCTGTTCCAGCGCCGAGGCATGGAGATCCCGTAGTATTGGTAAGTTTCATCGTTCTATGAAATATTGTCTGAATATACTGTAAAAATTTTATTTGTATGAAAAAATTCTAGAAAAAATTCTATTTATTCACTTTATTGTTTATGTACATATTTCTTTTTTTGAGTTTAAAATATATCAATAAGCAAATTAAGTAATTTAATGTAAGTTAAGGACCGATTGGGGTGTCTCAATATGGGTTTGGACCGTATCAAATGTGACAAATAAATTTAAATTTGTTAAAAAATTATCATGTACATTTTGTGAACTGATTTTATATATTTTTTCAATATAAGTTATATTAATAATTATTTAATGTCATATGCACCCTTAATATTTTAATCGATCAAGTGAACTTTTTTTTTTTTACAAAGTATTGTGTAAGTTTTTCATAAATGGTTTTGTTTTGGATGTTAAGTGTTTAGGACATTTGGTTAAATAATGTTCTAACGCCCGGTTTCTGAAACACTGTACATCGTAGAAATTAACTAATCAGCTGTCAAATGTCATTTGAGTTCCCAAAAGAATGGTTAAACTATTTGAATTGATCACAATGCTCAGAATGATTAGTTAATTTGACCATTAACCATTTGACCATCAACACTAACCATTTGTCAGAAACCTGGGCGTAAGTGTTTTGTTTTAAGTGGCGTTTTTAGTAGAAACAAACTGAGTATATACTCTAACTTTCTATGAATAATATTATTGAGTCTTCTTCAAACACAATGTTTGAAGAAGATTCAATAATATTCTCTTCTTTTGAATTTGACGACATTGACGTATAGATAATGTATTATATGTAAATTATATAAATATATAATTATATCCACACATCTGAGGCACAAACTTACGTCTTGCATTTAAAATTGACAAACATTTTTCATTTTTTTTTATTAAATATTATTATACTCTGTCAGTCTTTTATGTAAAAATATGGGATACGTACAGTAAGGTGACCTAAAACAGATGGTAAGTGATAACCGCCGCGCATTAGACATCCGCTACATCCGTAGGGTTGCAAATGCGTCGCCACCTTTTAAGAAAATGTGCACCGGTTACCTCGCTCACATGACGAAACGCAAAAGGATATTTACTTCCTCTTCACGCCGTTCGTCTATGAAACAGAGAAGTGGTATTTCCTGGAACCATTCATCACCTGGATGATGATCCGCTTTTATGTACAACAGTAGAGCTGGCAGTTGTCCTCTGTTTGGGTTAAAATACGCTCATTGTGGTAAACGCCGACAGCCGAGATGGATCTGGACGCTTCGTCCATCGAGTCCTCTGAGGATTGGGAGAACAGCGTGAACAGTTCGGAGCTGGACGTGCAGTACCAGAGCGATGAAGAGCGTGCCGAGAACGAGGTGAGTTTCTATCGAATCATCGTCGTTGTATACGTCGGCCGCTCTCAACCGGACGGCGGAATAATTTAGGCGGCCACTTAATTTTTATTGCCGTCGTGATTCGTTTGGTTTCTGTCCCCGCACGGAGCGAAACTTGTGTACTTCTCAAATGGCTGTTTCTATTATGGGTATTGTGATTTTTCCGTTTGTGAAACCCGCGGCGCGGGAAATCTTTCTCAGTTTGGGTTGTTTTTTGTGCCCGTTTCTTTTTCGAGATATGTTTATTCCTTTAATATTTTGTCCCTTTTCCTTATTTTTTTTCTTCCTTCGACCTTTCCCGCCTCCCCAATCCTGCATGCTCCTTGAAGTGGACGGTAGTGTTAACACTCTAACATAAGTTCGCCCAATACTTGCAGGCTATCGGGATGGTGTTGCCAGATCTATCTCGATACGCCTCAACGGCCAGCTGAATAATCGCCAACAACTAGTTTCCAGGGGAAACTTTTGTCAACAACACTCCGGAACCTCTGATAATAAACAACTATGCATTCATTTGTGACGTCAAGGTCGAATTATCAATGTATTTCCATATTTATTAAACTGACTGTATTAGTGAGGCATCATATACAATGTAGATAAATGTGTTATTTCGATGTATGTGCTACTTAAATTTTTCGATTTACTAAGACTTATGGGAAATACATTATATAACATACAAATTTCTCTTTAAAATTATAATTCATAGTCAAATAATGTTGAAGTAATGAAATTAATATATGATAACATTATAACCAATCGAGTAGAACATTAACTTTGCAGTAGAATAGTCGTAAACCTCTCAGAATTTATACCTACTTCAACTGTATATGTGAATGTTATATCGGTTTTCGATCCAAGCTTATTATATCTGTGGTAGTCAAATTTTAGTTTCGCCTTCATTTATTCGCCAGGACTGTTTAATTAACATTGTTTTCATCAACTCATTAATTCCACAATTTAGACATACTCATTTAAGCATTTTCACAATTTCATATGTAATCATATGTTTGTCGATAATCATGATATCGGAGAAACAGGGAAAGTTGCAAACAAACAAAATATTTAAAAACATCGTATCTTGGTCATAATGACGTTATTTACTCTATGACGCGGTGAGAACCAAAGACTATTGTTGCTTGTGTTGGTAAAAATGAATATCACATAAATATCCGATTGGTCGTATCTTTACACATTGTATATGTATGGTAACGTGTATTAATAATAAAATTGGCTTAAAGGTCTTGTTACCAGGCCATAAAATCTTTATAAAAAAAATAATAATAAAATGTTCAGCTCAAACTAACAATATAGAATGTTTTACCTATTAAATAATATACGTAAAATAATTGAAATATGTTTCTTAAAAAGTTTCAATATAAGAATAATATTATGTAACAGATTTTAGAAACAGTCACGGTAATTACTAATCCTTACTTTAAAATTTTATCGATTTGTTCCTCCCAGTCTTTGAATCCTCTCAGTTTCACTGAGATGTGCCAACATATTAAATTGCGTCTTTTCTGCTTTAAAGGTGCTATATGGGCAAAACAGTGTATGAAACATTGTTTTATACAATAATTAGTATTTTTCTTAAAGAATACTTATTAGGATGGATTTTGCAATTTTTTTTTTTTAAAATCATGACCTTTACTTTTGAAGAGCCCTTATTAAGGTTCCATGATTTATCCGCCTCTAAATTAGAAAAAAAAAATGTATTTCGTAGTATTTAGTTAGTATATCTTATTAATGGCTTCTGTGGTCTCTCTCCTGGTTCTGCGAAATGTTTAGCGTGACCAATTGTCCAAAGTAAGATTCCATATAAATTTTATGGTTAATTTTTATTATTAACTAAAAATATTAATTGTTTACTTAAAATGTTCATCATTCAAGAGTCCAAAAGATAAATACTTAATGCGAGATCTACTTAATTTAATTCCTATGCATGATGTTCTGCGCAGTAAAATCTTGCAAAAAGTAATCACAAAAAAAAGACTGCAGAAACGATTGAATTGCATTAGAAAAGTTAACAAATTCAAATTCTAAAAATATCAGAATCTACGTTAGTGTTGTAAAGTTACCTATATATATTTATAAAGTGACCTATTTATTCAAAAAAATATTTCTTTTAAATTAAAACATTTAAAACAGTTTTCTTTAGCGCATGATGAAATTCATTTGAAATGTTATAAACATTGCGTGCATAAAGCATCAAGTACATTAATATACAAATACTATTAAACAAAACGAAATAAAACATAATTATGGGTAAATATTTCCGCATTTGACCATTAAAATTAAGAAATATTTGTAATAATTGAGATATTGCTATGGTCCGTTGTACCTATCCTGTACACACAAAAAAGCTAGTTGTGGTAAGGCCACGAAACAGTCTTCGCTGGTCAGGTCCGTCCGGATAAATACCACGACTTCACAGACGACCGACGACGAAGTGTTATACTTCTGAGTTTCGTCTGGTGAGTGAGGTAGCCGGGGCCCACTTTATTAGTAGTCCGGTCAAAATAGACATTTGACTCGGCCAAAATTCGCATAGAGCTGAAAATTAGCAGTTAAATTAAGGTTTTTTTTTCCATTTTTCTCGAAAACGGTCACGGGTGGCAACTCATCTGTAACCCTACGGATGTTGCTGTCAATGGGCTGCGGTTATCACTTAATGTCAGTCACTTAAAACGCCGTAAGGTGATATCGAGTCGCTAATTTTAAAAGTACGTACTTAAAAATTAGTAAAATAGCTGTGATAGGTCAGTGTCCGGGCGCTCGCCTTTAATTCAATTTACTCGAGCGACCCGAGTTCGATCCCCGGTGCCGGCACCAATGAAATTGTTAATTTTAAGTACTGACTTATCACGTGCTCGGCGGTGAAGGAAAACATCGTGAGGAAACCTGCATATTTTTCCAAATAATAAGAAAAAAAAATATTTCAAAAATATGTGATGTCTGCCAATCCGCAGTGGGGCGCGTGGTGGACTCTGCCCTAATACCCTCAGTACAGAGGAGGCCTTTGCCCAGCAGTGGGACATTTATAGGCTGTTACTTTATGTTACTTACTTTAAAATTAGCGACACGATTTCTGGACATGTTTTTAATCTAAGACTATTTCATGACATGCTTTGAACTGGCCTCCTTATAATATGATTCGTTGCAATATTGTTTGTTAGTTTTATGTCTACGTGTTTCACCAAAGCAATTCATAAATTTTAAACTTCTTTTAGAATTGCACTAATAATTATTGTAATTGAAATCAAAGAAAATATTTCACACACTTTAGGATGTGTCAAATCGCAAAATCCCCGCCACGCGGAATAAAAAAGACAAACGTTACTTACTTTATTTTAACATTGTTTTCTTGTTGTAATTTATTACTAGGCTTTATCACTGTTGAAGCACGCACTTATTTTTTTACAGTATTGTTGAGATATATGTAATGTAATTATTTAATTTTGTACAGATTATTTCAGAAAGACTACTATGAACCATGTTATTTTAATCTATTTTGCTTTATATCGGTGAAATCTTTAATTTTTTCTCCTCAATGGAAAATAAGAAATCGTAACCGTGCTTTGTTCAATGTATTAAATTATACCATTTAACATGTTCTAGTTAATAAGTAAAAATATTCAGTGTATTAGGAACTTACCTATTAAGAAGACTTGAATATTTGTCATTTTTCGCAGTAGATCAGGGCCAGCTTTTACGAAATATATAATCGGTAGGGTGACCAAAAAAAAATACGTTTTATAGCACTTTTTCGTGGATGGTTTACTTTGTCCGGCCGTAAAAGTACCAACCACATTATTATTGGAGTTTTTGTCCTCTCTTCGAAATGAAAATTTCTAGAGCTTAATTTGCTGGGTGAGGTCAGGTCCAACATTGATATGTGTTACATAAATATTATAATAGCTCCTTCTATATCTTGCTTTGAATTTAATCGTAAAATTCTTGTTTGGTACATTTTTCAGTTCCCATCTATATAACCACACAGTTTCTATCTATAACTTAATATTTGAAATCTGTATATTAATTTGGATGTATATTATATTATCAATGCGAATATAAAACTAAGTTCTTAACTTTATTTTTTCAAAGACAGCGATTGCTCTATGCTGCCTTGTATGATTATAATAATTTTCAGACTTTTTTAATTTCGTTTATTTTAAGATCTTTTTTATATAACCATAAAAATTTATTGCTTTTCTGAATATATTACTGTATTTTTTCTACGGAATTATTGATATATACCATCATTAACGGTAGCAAGTTTATATCTAAATGTATCTTATTAAATATCAATAATCATAAGAAAATTTGAAAATGTGTCGCACAACTCTTTTTTTTAAATCTTTATGACTTATACTGCCCTTTACGCCTTTGGAACGTAACCTTTTTAAAAATTTTAAAGATTAGAACCTTTCTTTGTATAATCTGTATACCATAATTATTATATATCGAGGTATATTTGGTGTTTCTTGTATGATCTGTACATATCAATGTAATGATTTATTGATTTTTGGTTAGGATATTGAATAAATGTCACAAAATATTGATGGTAATTTTGTTTGATTTGCCTTTACCCGCCCCATACTAATTTTACTATGTACTAATTTTAATATTATAAAATAGCATAGTTTCTTTATATCTTATAGTAATTCTGAGGCTAAGGAATTATAGTAGCGCCACGTAATATCTTTTGCTGATGCACGGATGGGCAGGCTCGATTCAGATGCCACGGTCTCACAGGTAACTGTTGTTTCACAACAGTTCTGGTAATTTAGGTAACCTAGGCACACTTTTTTAAAGGTTGGCAGCTGATCTGCAAGACTTCAGATGTTTAAGACTATACTCACGTAGCAACAGTAAAACTGCCTGCTCACTTGAAAACTTTTCACATATAAAAAAATATTTTTTTAATTACACTAAAATATCACCCAAGATAACTGATACTAAAAATAACACCCAAGATTTTTTACCCCTCAGTTGCGTGATTATTATTTCTTTAAGTACACAACACCATTATTGTTTTTTTTTTTTGCATAAAGCATTGAATTGTGTTTATATACTATATGTAGCACTATATTCATACCATTAAACCTACTGCCCACTGTGGTGATTTGTGTTATTGGATATTGAATGTTTATTGTATAATAACTGTTCGAGTTTATGACAGGGAGTAATTAATCAGCAATTTAATAAAATCTAGAATTACTTTGCCAATGTTCGTCACATCAATGGAAGGGTTAATTCCGACAACAATCGGATAATTGGGTTTCAGTTTTAGAATTTAAATATAGGAAAAACTTTAACCCCTTGGTTTACTTTCTGTTCGAGCGAAGTGAATTTCAATTTTGAAATAGCGAACAGTGTTAGAAGGCCATTTTTAAAACAATGAACTGTATTCGGTAAAGTAGTCACGAAAAAATTCGATACAAACGACCACGCATATAGGTAATTTTAAAATTATTTAATGTAGGCACACGTGTTAAAAACCATTTTTTGCAGATAAAAAGTTTGTTTTTATTGATGAAAAGCTTGCCGTGTGACGCCGAGAGTGCGTACATACCTATATAACTCTGAAGGGGTCACGTGGTATGGGTACGTTCCCTTACTTACATAGACAAAATGAAATTGAAGAATGTTCTTAGTCTTTGTATAAGATCTGATATCGGGGGAAACTCGGCGAGCGCTCGCATGACAATGGCGGAGTCGCGTTAGTCTCAATAAACGAGTTACCGAGTAAACGTCTTATTATCCTTCTGATACCGAACCGTAATTTAGGGGACAGCTAGAAATATAAAAAACCCAAAATTTCACGTAAGCTTTTTTATTAACCGAGTTTTGTACCTAGACAGCCGTTTGATATTTAATTAAAGCCACATTCGATTCAATTTGTAAGACTTAAAACACACAGATATTAGAATTATTACATAATACAACACCGTAAATTACATATAACATGATGCCGATACCATAAAAAAATAGTCTTCCGATGTAAAATATTAATCAGTCTCGTATCAACTCTTCTTCTGTTCCAAACGCTGAAACTCTTCGAGCAGCGTCTCGTCTTCGAAGAAAGGGAACGATTCTGGAAACAGTGACGTAATCAGTACCGTCTTTACCATACGCCTACGCTTAAACCATAGAAATTTTTCTTTGTTTTTGGTATATATATTCCGACAGAAGTTTACAGAAAAAATAAAAAACATAAGAATAAGTTTGGTCACACTAACGAATTTAATGACTTTTAATGATCTATCATTTCAATGCAAAGAATGTGATGTAACGATAGGAATGAAATGAGAAAATATAATTCAAGATCTAAGATTTGTACATATACATCGTGTCTTTATCACCGCGACAATAAATTAACACACGTCTAACGCTACTTGCCAATAATCATAAAAAATGTTAACGTTAAAAAAATCCATAATTAAAAAAAATATTTCATTCAAACAAACTAATTAAGTAAAAAAGAAACAAAATTTGTAACACCTATAACTGACTGATTCATACATTCAGAGACTTTTTCATTCGTTGCCACAGTGTCGCATTACTAGCCTCTCGTTCTAACAATATGTTTTGTCTCTTTTAAATTCATTCAACCCATTCATATGCTTTGTGACCTTTACAAATGAACTTTACATTAAAGTTTTATACGTAAGGCTGTTCTAAAATTCTATGTTTTGGAAAATTTGATAACTCGGTAAATATTGATGTTTAAAAAATGTAAATCTTTAATACAATTTTAAAAAGTTATCCTCTATATGTGTGTTCAATTATTGTCGCGATGGTAAAGACACGCTGTATAAAAGAAACTAAGCTTTTTCAGAAGTGCCTGTAAAAAAGAAAAAAAAACATATTAAAGATCTAATCACCTTTAGTCTCTCTCTCCAATTTCACTTTACCCAATAACTTCTTTTCATCTTCGAGCTTCACTTCAGCACCGCCGAATGTGCTCTGAAAGAAGGGTGATTCCTCGCAATAAATTTCCATCTTTGCTCGACACTAATATAGATGCGGCAGCGACAGATATGTATTTCTTTTTATTATCTCTTTATTTTATTCAGGGACTTTTACACAAATATGCATTATGTCAGTCCCATTGAACCTTATCCTTACTAATATTATAAACGCGAAAGTTTGTATGTATGGATGGATGTTTGTTACTCTTTCACGCAAATACTACTGAATGGATTTTAATGAAACTTTACATTAAATAAGGTTATACATCAGAATAAGACATAGGCTATAATATTTTAGGTATATCTGTCTCTTTGTCTGAATGTTACGCCATCAGCCAATTCTAGTAACTAATATGCTAACAGAAGTATGTCCTTTTCATGTTTTTCCTTATAACGGAACCTAATATAGGTATGGGCCTTTTTTAGATTTCCATTCTGTTAAAACGTTAAAAAGTTATATTCTTTTATTTAATTTTACAATAATGTCTGGCCTGTATTAATGTCTTTAGTCCTTTTAACATGTACCTACATACTTTGGATTTAATGCTAATATGTAGACACTCGGGCGACGAATTACGACGGTACATTCCCGTGAGCTTGAATTATAGTTATTTTGTGCGATTGCGATATAAATAAATGTTAATTGCATACTTGAATTTTTGACAGAATGACAAATTGTATTTTGTTTACATACTTAGTCATATTTAAAATGAATTGATTATTTTCAATGAATACGAATTAGGTAGATTTTTTATATCGTGAAAAAAAAATGTGGTTATACAATGTAGCGATGTTCTCAGAATAGTCTTTTTAACATACGTAAATCCTAAAATAATACTACCTAAATATTTAGTAATCATTCGAATATTCAGCGCATTCCTATTAATAATCGAGAGTTAAAATAATAAATTCAAAAAAATCATGCACGATTTAGTTAAAATAATTAAAAAAAATCTCCGAGTAATTGACTCGGTAGAAATGTAGATTATGAAATCGCTAACATATAGTAAATATATCGCTTGATAGAGTAAGTAAAACGTTGCATACCTTGAGAAATTCCGGTAGTCCGTCCTGCAGATGATACCAGCTGAGTACGAAGATCAGGGAGACGAAGAATAAGTTCGATGATATACCTAAAAGATTAAATAATAAAACTAGTCATCGATTCACCGATTATTTTAGCCACTGGCAACACTGGAACTGGATGGAGTGGCGAAATCAAAAAGTCGAATATTCTAGATAGCAAATGATATTCTGGATAACAAATGGATAAAATAAAACCAAAGCTCTGTTTAAACCAAAAACTACATTCCTGTCAAATTTCACCCAGACATAAGTTACACAAATTACTTGTGCCTTGTAGGAATCGAACCCACGATCCTTGGTGGAGGCCAACAGCTTAGCAAAGGCGTCATCGAATTATTACGGTGAATTCATAATAGAAAAATTGAAGATTTAAGTAGGGTACCAACTTCAACTTTTCAAAAGTAACACACCATATTTTGTAGGTGGTCATCCCCACAATGACTCAAACGTAAGTCTTTGGTGCATTAATAGGAAACCAATGGACGGAACAACTACAACTACTATTAATAAAAATTAACTACTATTTATAAAGATTTCGTATAATGTGGGTACAATATTACGATAAGTACCTGGCTGGAAAAGTTCCTGCCCCCTGAGGGATATCTTCTCCTGCGCTGCTTCTAATAATTATAACTTATCTGTATTATAATTCTGTTTAAGACAAATCCCACGATGCATTATCATTTATGCATCGTGGGATTTGTCTTAAACAGTTCTAAATAGAACTCCTGGACAGCACATGCCAACATTTTGTTTCGAACCGTTGAAAGTGACTCACCAAGAACGGCCCACCCATTATGTCGTAACAAGCGACCCGCCCCGGCTTCGCACGGATGCAATGTACTATACATACAAACCTTCCTCTTGAGTCACTATCTATTAAAACAAACCGGATCAAGATCCGTTGCGTATTTTTAAAGATCTAACCATAAATAGGGACAGACAGACAGCGGGACGACTTTGTTTTATATTATGTAGTGAAGTTCAAATCTAATCAGAGACTCACCTACAACCGCAGAGGTGCGCGGCCAGTAGTACATCAAGTAGCGGAGGCCTGTAAAGTGGGCCTGTATGTGCAGCTCGCATGCGTAAGTCTGCGCGAAGCGAGACTGCAGCTCAACGTAAACGTCGGTGACCGGCAACTCCTGTTAAAGGGGGAGCGCGTGTTAGTCTGTTAACGCGTTACTATCGGCAAAATCTGATACGTCAGTGATTACAGAGCTAAAGCAAGAAATAGACGAGGGATATATCTATTTGGACAATGATGTTTTAATAATAGATGACGCTTGTCTACTACATTGGCGTTTAAAAATTGTTCCGCTCTATATTATATGACATGAAAGAGATGGCAGTCTTTAGAGTTACAATATAATTACACTTATAGGCGTAACTTGCCTTCGTTTCGGTGCGCTAGTGTCTAGGTATATTATCTACCTCTTAGTTGTACAAAATATCATTGCTATTTAGCCACAAAGGCAAATGTGCAAGGCACGCCTAAACCCACTAACCGGGTCGTCGACGAAGTCGCTAAACAGCTCGACTTGGACCTGTTGTTTTTCCTCGTCCAGACCGCCAAGCAGCAACGGCGCGAAAACGGTCGTTCTGATCAGCTGATGCAGCCTCGACCTGGCGGGAAAGCTACATCACGAATATTTCCCGAGAGCTGTCACAACTGTCAAATTGACAGGACCATAGACTACTTGCGAATTAACAAAAAATGACTGTAGCCAATGGGTCCCCATTTACCACCGTCATTAATTTTAGACACCGGATATTGATTCGTTACGATCGCACGGGAACTTTTGTTTTCTGTGAGGTGGCAAGCAAGCTGGCGGTTCAACTGATGTTAAGTGATAACCGCCATTGACTCATGGGCATGGATTTGCAACACCCGTAGGGTTGCCGATCCGTTGCCCCCTTTTATTAAAGTTGGCCTCTGCTACCTCACTCACCAGACAAATCGCAGTTCGTTTGCCACTTTCTCAAAAAAATATTATAGAGGAAAGCAATTTACGCCTACCTGTGTCTGAGCATTGACGACCTACACGACGAGGAGATGAACACACCTCCCTTTCCTCTCATCTGAGCACACACCATGAACATGCCTGCGAACAAACATCGCCTGCGAAATGTTTAACATAATTGAAGTCAGAATGAACGATTAAAATTGACTATTATATTTAAATTTTATCTAGTACCGATATCTGCACTAGCTGAGGGGATATACAGGGAGGCTTTTCTAAGTGTATCCATTTTTTTAAAATTAAATTATAATGGTATATAAAAAATGATAAATATTTAAAATCATACGTAATTAATTAATTACATTCATTTTAACTTATCTCAAAATGTGCGTAATTTATGGGCAACTCATTTATTTTAAGCGCGATCATTCATAACTAACGGATACAAGTTCGTTTCAAATATATACGACGCATTTATGAATGACTACATTATCAACAAGTTATGTTATTTAGGGAATAGAATGGCATTTTTTTTGACAAAAAAAAAGGTTGTTTTAATTTTAATTTACGATTATACTACAGAGTCTGAACTTCCTATGTGAATTTGGGCACCTTTAGAAAAGCCACCCGTATAGTGCTAATCTCAGTACTTAAGGTGAAACATTAACGCCCGGTTTCTGAAACACTGACAAACATTAAGATCATTCTGATCAATTCAGAGAGTTTAACAATCCTTTTGGCAACTCAAATAACATTTGAAAATCCATTTGACAGGTGATTAGTTAACTTCTACGATGAGCGGTGTTTCAGATGCTGGGCTTAAAATTCGTCGAATAAAGGGCTGAAAAGTTTTACGCTTTCTTTTTAACCACTAAGCTAAACCACTGACTGCCACACCAAATTTCCGTAAAGTACGTAGCTACTATGGTAGATATGACCATTCTGCCAATTCGCAGTGTGGTTGCATGGCGGACTATGCTCTATTACTCCAGCCCTGCGTACAGCCTTTACCCAGTAATGGGACGAATGTTATATATAGTTTACTTTGATTTAAACTGAGCCATTTCGGTACGGGGATGAGGTAGCCGGAGCCATATCTCTTACAGCTTGGCAATGCAACCAGCCAGTGTTGGCCTAGGGCAATAATAATCAAATGAACAGCTCGTTTATTCGTTATTGATGAATAAATTATTGTAGAATTTCATATTTACACTGGTCGAGTACAAGTAGTACAATTACAGTAGCCAGTGGCGGGCACCAGACAAGTGACCGTTTACACTATAGCAAGTACATGGCATTTCTCGGTCGAAATGGACGAGCAACGTCAAAGAATACGTGAAATTTTGTTGCCTGTTGCCGGCCATTGTACTAATTTGACTGTTTACACTTCAGCAAGTGAAGAGTCAAGTGCCCCGCGAGGGGTGTCCTTGCACCAGAAAATAGGGCGCGATTTTATTTCGGTCTACTTGCAAGAAAGCTTGCAAGCCAAGTTGACTCGCCACCGTACGATGGTTTACACCACTGTACTTTTCTACTTCGCTAAACAATTGTTTGTTAGAACATGTCATTATAAAAGTAGTATTTTTAATCGGTATACAGCGACATCTATGTATTGTATCCTAAATTTGTGTAGTCAACGCTAATTAATATGCGTGCAATCGTATTGATTATCACGCCACAGTTTAATTTTAAAGCTGTTTCACGATAACCTTTACATATTAGATACATGAATGCAGTTATTAGATACAATTGTATCTAATAACGGTGGTAGGGCCACGCAGCAGCCTCGGCTGTTGCATGTCATGTGAAAATACTTGTATAAGCTGTGGATGACATGTACTTCATTAGAGATGATTAAACTGGGCTTGTCAACACTTATGTGTTTTAATACAGTTATCTTAATAACCTTTTAATAACTAATTAAATACAGTTATTACATGGCGCTGAGGACTTAAAGAACTTATTGTGATAAATATAAAAACCTAAGTGGAAGTAAACCGTTGTAAACGAAAGATGGATGCGTTAAAACCACCGCCACCATTAAGCCTTATGGGCGACTTGAAACAAAATTTTCAAAAATGGACACAGCAATATGATATCTATATGATTGCTAGCGGGACGGGAGGTGATGAAAAAATTAAAGATGAGCAGAAAAAGGCAATATATTTGCACTGCTTAGGCACAGAAGCACTAAACATATACAATGGTTTCAAGAACAAAGAAAAGTTATCTTATGTGGAAGTAAAACAGAAGTTTAATGAATATTGTTCGCCACCCGGAAATGAAACTTTTAGTAGACATGTCTTCTTCAGCAGAAAAAAGAGAGATGGAGAAAGTTTTGATGAATTTTTCTGTACGTTGAGAAAATTGGCGGGAGACTGTGGTTTTGCAGACCTAGAAGAAAGCTTAATAAGAGACCAAATAATTTTAGGCCTAAATGATGCCAAATTAACAGAAAGATTGCTCAAGGAATCGACCTTAACATTGGATAGCTGCATGAAAATATGTAAAGTGGCTGAGAGTGCTGCAAAACAGGTTCAAGTCATGACAGAAAAGACAGTTGAAGCAGTTACAAGAAAGCAAGAATCTCCAAGGAGAAGGCCTAATCAGAATAAAACCAATTTTCATAATAAACAACAGCCAGGTAAGAGTGCAGAAGGATCAGTAAGGTTTAAGAATAATAATTGTGAAAGATGCGGAGGAGTGCATTTTCAGCGGTCCTGCCCAGCCTTTGGAAGAAGATGTGCTAAGTGTAATCGATATGGACATTACATGCAGATGTGCAGAACAGTTGGTGCTGTGTGTGTCAGCGATGACGATAGTGATGACTCATTAGTAGTGGGGTCGGTAACTGTGGGCCAGGTTGATACAGAGGACTGGATCGTTGAGGCAAAAGTGAGAGGACAGAAGATGAAATTCAAAGTGGATACAGGATCGCAGGTTAATATTTTGACTAGTACTATAGTGAAAAAACTAGACTTACATATGACAGAAACTTGTACAAAATTAAAAAAACTTTGATGGCTCAACTATAGAAACAATAGGTATGACTAAAACTAGAGTGAAATTCAATAAACAAAAGTATGTACTTGACTTTTATGTGGTAAAATTTAAAACTACTAATGTGCTGAGCTACAAAGCTGCTGTGCAGTTAGGTTTAATAAATAAAGTTGAAAATATTTCAAAGGACTGTATAGCTCAGGACATTAGTGAATACAAAGAGTTGTTTCATGGTTTAGGAAAATTGAACTATGTATACAAAATTAAATTAAAAGACAATTGTGCACCTGTAGTGGAGCCACCAAGGAAAATTCCTTTTAAATTAGTGGATAAAGTCAAAAATGAGCTTGATCGATTGGAGAAACTTGATGTAATAAAGAAAGTTCAAGAACCTACTGAATGGGTTAATTCTATGGTTATTGTTAAAAAAAGTCAAGATAAAATTAGATTGTGTTTAGATCCACAAAATATAAACAAATGTATCATAAGGGAACGTCATAAAATACCTACCTTTGAGGAACTTACTTCAGCCATGCCTGATGCCAAATATTACTCAGTGTTAGATGCAAACAAAGGATTCTATCAGATCTTGTTAGCAGAAGAAAGTCAACTGCTAACAACATTCAATGCAGGTCAATTTGGAAGATATTGTTTTAAGCGGTTACCATTTGGCCTGAATTCTGCCCCTGAAGTATTTACTAAGTGTTATTCAGAAATTTTTAATGATATACAGGGTGTAGTGACTTATGTTGATGAAATATTGGTATGGGGAGATACGAAAAAAACACATGATAAAAGATTACTCCAAGTTTTAGAAAAGGCTCGGCAAGCTGGTGTCAAGTTCAATAAAGAGAAATGTGTCATAGGTGTAAAGGAGGTTAAATATGTGGGTCATATCCTATCTAGTGAGGGCCTTAAGCCAGACCGGAAAAAGTACGAGCTATTGTGGACATGAAAGAGCCAACAACAAAAAAGGAATTACAAACTGTCTTAGGTATCATAACATACATATCTAAATTTATACCAAATACATCAGAATTGACTAACTCACTAAGACAGTTACTAAAAAAAAATGTAGAGTACATTTGGGGTGACAAACAAAAAGAGGATTTTAAAAAAATAAAACAATTTCTCACTAGTGCCACAGTGCTCAGATACTTTAATGTCAACAAACCAGTGACTCTTTCAGTCGACAGTAGCTCCACAGGGTTGGGAGCTGTACTCCTACAGGATAATTTACCAGTTGCTTATGGGTCAAAGACCTTGACAGAGTGCCAAAAGTCATGGGCACAAATTGAAAAAGAAATGTTGGCAATAGTATATGGATGTGAAAAGTTTCATCAATATATTTATGATAAACATGTAATAGTTGAATCTGATCATAAGCCTTTAGAATACATATTTAAAAAAAACAATTAATGAAACTCCACTAAGACTACAGAGGCTTAGATTGAGAATTCAAGGGTATGACCTGGAAATAAGATACAAACCGGGAAAAGAATTATTTGTAGCTGACGCTTTGTCTAGGAATAGTTTACCAGACAAAATATGTAATAAAGATTTGGATCAACATGTAGAAATGCATGTTTGCTTGATAACGGAAGGATTAAAATTCACAGAACAAAAGTTAGAAGATTTTAAAAAAAAAACTGCAAATGATGAGGAATGTCAAAAAATTATAAAAAATATTAAAATGGGATGGCCAGATAAAGTAAAATTACCGACAGATTTAAAATATTATCACTCTATAAAAGAGGATTTGTATTATGCAAATGGTTTAATTTTTAAAAATAAGGCAGTTTTTTGTACCAAAATCACTGAGGAAAGAAATATTAAACTTAATTCACTACAACCACCTAGGGTTAGAAAAATGCAAAAATAAGATAAGAGGAGTGTTATATTGGCCATTTATGAATAAAGAGCTGGAAGATCACATCAGCAACTGTGAACCATGTCTGAAATATCAAAAATCTCATTCATTTGAACCCCTAATTCTAAGGGACTTACCGAAACAACCCTGGGATATAATAGGAGCTGATATGTTCTTCTATAAAAATAATATATACTTAATGGTTGTAGATTATCTAACTAAATATGTGGATATTATAAATATGGTGGATCAATCCACGGAAAGTCACATATTAGCATTAAAGCAGGTGTTTTCGAGATGGGGTATTCCAACAAAGCTATGTACAGATGATGCATCACAGTTTAATAGTTACGAATTTCAAGAATTTGTGAAAGAATGGGGATTTCAGTTAGTGAAATCTAGTCCATATTATGCGAGGTCCAATGGAATGGTTGAACGACACATTCAAAGTGTTAAAAAAATGTTTAAAAAATGTGATGTTGATCAGAAAGATATTTATATGGCCTTGATGGAATATCGCAACACACCTATAGATTCAGAAATTAACTTGTCTCCTAATGAGTTACTCTTAGGAAGACAAACAATAACTTTGTTACCTACCAGATCTTCTTTGCCAAGTAAAAATAAATTAAAGGAAGTTAGGAATAGTTTGCAGAAAAAAAAAAATTAAATACAAATATTATCCTGATAGAAAAAATAATAAAAAAGGAATTGACTTTACAGAGGGTCAAAATGTGTTTATAAGGGATAGTAAAAATAAAAATCTTATGGGGAAAATAATACAAGAAAAAAAAAAACATAGATCATATGATATTCTAACAGAGCAAGGACAAGTGATTAAAAGAAATAGATACAATATTTACAAAGGCTCTTCTAATAGACAAAGAGACTACAGTGGTGATATAGAAGATTCAATTGGTAGTAGTGGCATTAGCAGTGACAATGACAATATACAGTCTAATGACACTACTAGCAATAGGAAGTCAGTAAATTTTGAAAATGTAAATACTGACATAAGGCAAACAAGGTCTGGAAGGCAGGTAAAACAACCAAGTTGGCTAAAGGGTCATGTCTTAAGTTAGATTATAAGTTTATTTGAGTAAAGAAAGGGAGATGTCATGTGAAAATACTTGTATAAGCTGTGGATGACATGTACTTCATTAGAGATGATTAAACTGGGCTTGTCAACACTTATGTGTTTTAATACAGTTATCTTAATAACCTTTTAATAACTAATTAAATACAGTTATTACATTGCACGAATGGGCAGGCCCGTCCGGGTAAGTACCACAACCTCACAGAAGACCAGCGTAAAGTGGAAGTATGACAAATACTTTCGCGTTTCGTCTAGTGAGTCAGGAGTCGGAGCCCAATTTTCAAAAGGTTGTCAACGCATCTGTAACCCTCGGGAGTGGCAGATGTCCAATGATTGGATTTTGATTTTGAATTACATGCAAAGTGTTATCTTTAATACTATAAATTTTGCCTGCAAACGGGACTTTACAACATGTAATGCAACTGAATGGAACGCTTAAAAAAATTCATTTATTTATTATTTTCAAACATTCGTTAATTTCTAGTAGTCCTTTTTTTTTCTACATGTTTTAAAGTCCTTTTTTTCTTCGGATTTACCAGAATATTTCTCAGTACATTAAAAAAAGGCTTCATATAAATAAAGCGAGTTTACACTTAAAACAATTGATATGCTTAATAGATGTATTTTTAACCACTGATTTATTCGTCTACTTAACTAAAATAATTAAAATTGCTCTGAAAACGCGACGCTCGATTTCTTCACTGCAAAACCAGTTGATTTAAGGGCTCAAGCTACAACTTGCTTTTTTAGAGGACACAGGTGGCACTTTCACAAGCTTTAAGGACAAAAGAAGGAACTTGTGTTAGGGTATAGGGGATCCATTCTTCAAATTGTTATATGCACATTTAATCGGACTCTATTTGACTTCAGAAAACTTTAGAAAGTTTTTGAATTAATCAACAGATTTTTTTTCTGGACGCCTATTTGGGGGCTATATAGAACAAAATAAAAGGAATTATTGTCTATTTATAAAAATTTCCAAGACACACAATCTTTCCGTCCTTTCATACCTATTTCGAAACTATTATGAACATGGTAAAACAAACAAAAGCCAATTAGTTTGGCGGTTCCCAAGTGATGAGCTTTTCCAACAAACAGCATTTGATTTTAATTAAAATAGATAATTGATAAGTTACAATGATAACAGGCTTATAACATACATGTTCCTTAAATACTCTGAGGTACATGTGTACAATAGTGTGGACTAAAAACCAATAATTTTCCAGATCATACTGAATTATTTGTTAACCTATTATTGTTATGCGAAGAGCCCTTTCTACATGAAAGTGGCAGGAAGGTTTATGGGGTATGCAAGATCATAACATATTAGATACTAAAAATCATAAAACCCAAGACATATTAATCTTAAGCATGCATAAATAATTGTAAAGTTAAACAGATTTAGTTAGCCTTCAAATAATTACACAACAGCCTACACACATCCCACTGCTGGGCAAAGTCCACCTCTTTGCAAAATTAACCACTGTCTTAAAATGATACTACAATACACACCTAAGTCCTTATTGACCTGCGTCTCAGGCATATCTAGTATTAACTTTATCCGATAAGGCTGCCCGGACATCAGGAGATTGCTCTGTCGTGTCAACTGAACATGGGCTGATGGGAATGAGCACATACCCATTTGTTCTTCACATGGTCTGTGAATGTACAAAGTAATGACATTCAAAAGCCCTATAGCCTAAAAAAACTGCAATAATTTAAATTTTTACTTTAACGTATTAATCACAAAAAAGGTATATGTATTTGTATGCAAAACAGCAAAATTTTATGTTTAACAGCCCATCTTACAAAATATAATTATTATTTTTTTTCCAGTTAAAAGCTTATGGAAAACTCATGTTAAAACAAAAACGCATTTATTTTATATTATATTCAATAATAAATAATGGTGTAATTCCATTATTTGAAACAATTTATAAAAAAAGCATTTGTACAACTATTAATTCCAAATTCATACAACATTTAATTAATGGTAGAAAAAAATTACTCACTTGAACTGTAAATGGACTGGCCTTATATGCGTCACATTGGGCATGTAAATATAGTAGAAAACAACATACATAAAAACAGAAATCCAAAGAACAGCAGACAGAAACACTGAAATAATGCTCACTCTAATCAACAGGTCTTTGACGCTATTTATACTTTGATTCGTCTTCTTTTTATAATCCGAATACTGTTTCCCAAAAAAAGCCTCTATGGGCACACGTACAAAATCCTTAAAAAACTTAAAAGGGTTTAAATAAACTAAGAGAGACATCGTTGTAATGCTTAGTGTTAAATGTGCAATAGGATCTCGCCTTATCTCAAAGCAGTCAAGGAAACGGACCTAGAACTTAGCGGGTAGATAATACTTTTGAAGATAACGTTTTTTTTAATGTTGATAACAACTTTGCGCAGCGAACTTTTTCTTTTTAGCCTAATTCATTTAATTACAAAGAGACTATATTTTAAGCATTTACATGTTTTAAACTATTTTTACGCTGTCATCAATAAACACCTGTAGGAGAAGGCCATATTCATAATAAATTAAATAATAAATAGAGGTAAATCAATTCTGACTAAAAAATATCCGCATCTGTCATTAATCACTGACATTAGCCTGAACTCGCTGAACATAGATAAGACATATATAATAACTTTGCGCAGAGGCAATATCGTAACCAATGAGGTCGAACATATATAATATAATCATATACTGAAATAACATAAATAACACATATTTACTGGGCTTGAAAAAGTTTTTATTTTTTATTTTATGGCTCGGTTTCCAAGACCAACTTCAAAATGTACCGACGCATTATTTCGCATTGGTATCGTTAAGTTGCAGTCTGTTAAATATAGGTTGATGGTTAAAACTTATGTTTCATTAATTCTAGTAATTCTATGCTCATAAACTAAATGTTACCCCGCATATTAATTGTTTCGTAATATAATATTCGTAAGCGATTGTTCGATGTAGGATGTCTCGTGATTGAATTGCTTATCGTGTTCAATTATGATCTTATTAGTTGCTCTGAATATGTTCCACGCAATGGAAGGCGTCATCGTGTTCCAGCTCTACGTTGTGAACGTCTTAAATTTAAACCTTTTTAAAGAAGCTGTTAAAGCCGTCGGACTAAGAGCAAACAGGCAAACTGGCAAACTAAACTCAAACAAACGTAAACGAAATAATCGTTGTACTGTATACGGAAAACTGCATGATCCAAACATTTTTGTCGCTTATTTTATTACTTATGTCAAAGAGTACATTATTAATATAGAGTCATCAGTCTCCTCGTGAGACAGCGCCATCTCTTGATGCGGGACCGAACTACAAGTTCAAATGTTTATAACCAATACTAATTACCCATCTTGTTTTTACAGTTGAGAGCTGCATTCAACTACAGTTTTCAATATAGTGTATATGAAATTTATTTTATTTATATTTGATAACATTGTATAGAAAACTGTAATTTGATACAAGCTTGCTAGATGTTATTTTTGGATAAAGTAAATAAAATACAGAAATATGTTTGCGAACTCTTTCGTTTTTTATAATATTCACTTGCTTTTTTTTTTTTTATAATATTTGTTATGAATGACTTCGAGTCTGGTGCCGTTTAGTAAATTATTTACGTTAAATTATTTTTGCCTATCCAAAATCAGTAAATTTCCTCCAATCGATTGAATCCATGTTTTAAATCAGTCACTATCATTTTCAGGTGAGAAAAAGAATGCAAATTTGCGTTGCAGTCTTTACCTGTAAATACAATATGAATGTTTTGCCGAAACGTATAACAAAATAAAATGATGAATAATGAAAGATAAATGAATAATAACCGGCCGCAGTTCAGGTTTACCAACTGTTGAAAAAAAACTCCTAGTGGATGAAAAAAGTCACCTTTTTTTTTAAATTATGTTACAAGCTAGAATAATTATCGGAAAATTTAATTATCTCGGTAATCAAAACTGTTTTATTTAAAAATTAACTTAATTAATATACTTGACCTTGAACATTGTTCATTGACTTAAAATATTTATACAAATTAAATACATTTTATTGTGACGTTATAATCATTTTCATTATTTTTAAGAATCAGACAATAAGTAATGGGAATAAGTATATATAGGAATAATTATAAAAGTTTCGAATTGATATAATACTGGCCATTCGCCATAAATGTAAACATTGTTTTTAAAATTATTCTTTTGGATGTTCCTTATTACTGACACAATTGTTCTTACGTATGTATATATTTTCTGCTTAATAAAATCTAATAACTAGGTTTTGTATTATTTATCAATTTATTAAGCAGAAAGAATCAACAATTCAATAAAATAATTCTCAAGAAGTATGGAGAGATTTTTAAGACCAGAGAAATTTGAAACCGATTCTTCATCTGCTACCGCGGCACAAGAATGGAGACATTGGTATATAACTTTTGAAAATTTTTTGGCTATAAATAATGTTAAAGATGAAAAAGCAAGATTTCAACTTCTGATTAATCATCTATCATCAAAAGTTTATGAATATATATGTCATTGTGTTAGCTACAAAGATGCGATCAATACTTTAGAGCTTGCATTCGTCAAACCAAAAAATATAATTTTTGCAAGACACAAGCTTATCACCTCAAAACAAGAAAATGGGGAAACGATTCAACAGTTTATAGATAAACTAAAACTACAAAGTCTGGAATGTGAATTTACATCAGTGTCTGCTGAAAAATATAAAGAAGAGTATATAAGAGACGCCTTCATTTCTGGTATTTCATGTAATAATATCAGACAGAGATTATTAGAAAATTTATCACTTTCTTTAGATGAAGCATATAACAAAGCAGTATCATTGGAGCTAGCGAAGTCTACTGCTCAAGAATATCAGATCAATCCAATAAATGCTTCACAATCACAAACTCATGTTAAAAATCATGAGTTTTCGTCGACTTATCAGAAAACTTTATACAATCGAAAGAAATGTTTTTTTTTTGTGGCGGAAATATACACGTGCGTTCAAATTGCCCTGCAAGGAATGCGATTTGTCAAATATGTGATAAAAAGGGACATTGGGCCAAAGCATGTCGTAACTCAAAAAAATCTGTAAATGCCGCAATGGAAATAGATGACATGGACGCTGTAGCTTCTGTCATAGCTGCATCACCTGCATGCCTCGGTAAAGCAATTGTAACTATAAAAATAAAGGGGGTAAATGCTCAGGCTTTAATCGATTCAGAAAGTTCTAGAAGCTACATTAATAGTTTGTTTTTTGATCGCTGTTGTCTAATAAAAGAAGAATGTTCAGAGAAAGTGACAATGGCTACGACTAATTATACATCGAATGTAGAAGGCCTGTGTATTACGTCAATAAGCATAGGAAATCACATTTATAAAAATATGAAATTACTTATTGTAAAACATCTATGTGCGGATATTATTATTGGTCATGATGTATTAACTCAACATTGCAAAGTTCAATTAAATTTTGGCGGTCCAAGAGCAAAACTTGAAATTTGCGGAGTAACCGCAGCTACGATTCCTCCAGTATCAATTTTTCCTAACTTATCGTCGATCTGTAAACCTATAGTCACTAAATCTAGACGTTATTCTAAAGATGATTTAAAATTCATTACTAATGAAATTCAGGAATTATTATTAAATGGTATTATAACGGAAAAACCATTAACTGCTTTTGAAGCAGTCGGAAATTTATATCAATTTTGTACAATTCCATTTGGAGTTACTAATGGTGTAAGTAGCTTTCAGAGAACTATAGACTGGATAATACGAACGGAAAATCTACAATCTACGTTCGCCTATCTAGATGATGTTACCGTATGTGGTAAGAATAAAGAAGACCATGACTATAATCTTGAGAAGTTTATATCTGCTGTCAAAAAGTATAATCTTACTATAAATGAGAAAAAATGTACATTTTCAATTAAAAGTATTTCTATTCTTGGATATAACATTAATAATAAAATTATCACTCCAGATTTAGAAAGAATCAAACCTCTACAAAATTTGCCTATTCCAACGGATGCTGCTTCGTTAAGAAGGACAGTAGGAATGTTTTCACATTATTCTAAATGGATACCGAAATTTTCCGAAAAGATTCGAATTATTATTAATAACAATGATTTTCCATTGAACAACGATGCAGTAAACGCTTTCGAAAGTTTAAAACAAGAAATAATTAAGTCATCTGTTGATGCCATTGAGACCAAAATGCCAATCACTGTCGAAACAGATGCAACAAAATACGCAACCGGAGCGACACTTTCACAGGAAGGGAGACCTGTTGCTTTCTTTTCAAGATCACTCACGGAGTGTGAAAGAAAAACACTCTGCTATTGAAAAAGAAGCATATGCCATTGTAGAATCTGTCCGTAAGTGGAGGCATTTTCATAGGCATAGGACGAGAATTTCGTTTAATAACTGATCAAAAATCGCTATCATTCATGTTTAATACCAAGCATAATAGTAAAATTAAAAATGACAAGATTATGAGGTGGCGCCTGGAGCTCTCTTGTTTTAAATATGACATTATATATCGACCTGGGAAAGAAAATGTTGCAGCGGATGCACTATCTCGAATGTGTGCATCTGTTCATACAGAATCTAAAACTATTTTCTTTACATGAATCGCTTTGTCATCCTGGAGTCACTCGAATGTTTCATTGGGTGCGATCTAAAAACATACCATACAGCATTGATAATATACGACAAATGACACGTGGCTGTAAAATCTGTGCAGAAGTAAAACCTAAATTTTGCAACAGCCTGTGGAATATTAATAAAAGCTACAAGTGTATTTGAAAGATTAAACATAGATTTTAAAGGACCCCTACCTACAAATTCAAAAAATCAGTATCTACTCACTATTATAGACGAATATTCAAGATTTCCGTTCGCATACCCCTGTGAAGACACACATCTACATCGAGTATTATTAAGTGTTTGACAAACTTATTTTCTATATTCGGCATACCCTCATACATACATTCTGATAGAGGATCATCATTTATGTCCCATGATTTAAAAATCTTTTTACAA